TCCTCTTGGGTTTCATTTGATGTTTCTCCGTGAATCCAAGTGTGTTTTAAAGGCTGACTGGGCGCATGTCAACAAGCAGCCAATGTGTCTTTGCTATATGTATTAGGCATGCCTAAACCCCCCTCAAACCCCTATTGTCAAAAAAACCCCATTGCCATGGTAACGGTAATCTGCTCTTGTGCGCATGTCCACCCTCACCCTCACCTCTTCTCCTCCACTGCATTCCTTTCTATGTACGCTAGTCTTGCTTTGATGGAACGTTATCAACCCAAGGCCACAGGTGGTGTGCGGCAGGAGGCTTTTGCTTAGTCTGTAATGAATATGTAGTGTGGGAATACTCTAATTGTTTAACTGTATAGAACCATTGCTTCTCAGGGTTTGGGCGCGCGGTGCGCCTTCTAAGCGGGCGCGGGAACCATATCTATTGGCTAGTGTAATTATGAACTTGCTTTAACCTATCTGTCAAACGCTCACCTCGTTATTCTGAACGGAGAATCTGTTCTAAGTGCTTCATGGCTTCAGTAAAGTAAAACCTTCCTGCAAGTGTGTACTTCATTGCCTGCTGTGGGGTCTGACAGCGCATTGAGTAAAGACTTCTAGCAAGTCTAGTACAAACGTTCGGATTGCTATTTGCATCTCTGCTGCTCAGACTGATCAGTAGGCAGCCTTACAGGCTCCCATGCATGGAGCTCTCACACACTCCTGGTGCCCTCTCTTCTTCTTTTAATTTTTTTTAAAAAATTAGATCTAGTACATTCGCAAAAGTAAATTAACAAACTATACATTCTATATCAGATATCTCCTACAAACAAGGTTTTAAAAATGGATATTACTTTTGGTCCAACTTGAGAGCCACTTCACATCTTCGTGGCTACAAATAAAACTTCAAAATCTGATGTATAAGAGTCATTTTCTTCTTCACGTGTTAACATAGAAATTTTTATCATGCACACATAAGTCGCATACTATAATAAACCAATCATGGGTTGAGGGAAGCACCTCTGTCTTCCAAGTCCTAGTTAATACTGCTTTCGCTGCTTTAACATAAAATTGTAATTAATTCGTGTTTTTGCTTAGATATAGTATTATTGCTCCAAAGGTTTTGCTCCGTTCTGGTGGAACGAGCTCCCGGAGGAGATCAGGGCCCTGCGGGACCTTATGCAGTCCCACAGGGCCTGCAAGCTGGAGCTCTTCCGCCAGGCGTTTAATTAGGAGCCGCCCTGGGGGAGAATGCCCTGCCCCTTGAAATCTTAAAGCAGCCTGAGCCACTCGTACAACCTTAGATCAGGATCGACCCTTAGGATGGCATGGAACCCCACAATATGCGCCGAAGACTGACACTCATCTGCTTTTCTCCAGCCTGTTTCTACAAATATGATTCTACCTCATCAAAGTGGGGGTGACATGATATTAAAATAGAAATAATGATAGCTTAAGAAGAAGTTTTACCTACACTGCCAGATATTTGACGTCTTTCACAGATTTTGCGGGGGTGGGGGACTGAATTTTTATAGCAGTTTTTATGCTAGATTTGAGTCCGTGGGTTTTAAATCTGTGTTTGTCC